AATGACAAAATTAATAAGTGCCGAACTACGGCGAAAGACAAACTCTAATTGGAGTCAAAATTCTTGATATTTTATTGACAATTTTTGGTGACAATTTCAGATTAAAAAAAAATTAACTTTTTGAGTAATTAACGATAAAAAAAACGAAGATAATGTTAACTATGACGTCTCATTTTGAAGGGTCTTTCATGTTCTTTGAGTACACCATAGGGCGATTTGATGGCTTGAACCCCCGCAGAGATATCGGGGCCAATTTGGAAAACAATCTTTTTTTACAAAAACTAACAATTTTCAAAAAATCATAACCCCCTCAATTATTCATATTTTTCAATTGTTCTTTTTTCAAAATTTTTGGCTAATCGCCATCTTTTCAGAAAAAAATTGAGACGAAAAAATCCAACCAATGTTCATTTATTTGGGTGATAAATGCGTAAATAATAGCGATTTTTGGTGCTTTTCAATACTTGTCGCAATGACAAAATTAATAAGTGCCGAACTACGGCGAAAGACAAACTCTAATTGGCGTTAAAATTCTTGATATTTTATTGACAATTTTCGGTGAAAATTTCAGATTTAAAAAAAATTAACTTTTTGAGTAATTAACGATGAAAAAAAACGAAGATAATCTTATGTATTTATGGAAAACAATTTTTTTAAATAAAAACTATGAATTTTCAAAAAATCTCAACTCCCTCAATTATTCATATTTTTCAATGGTCCTTTTTTCAAAACTTTCGTCGAATCGCCATCTTTTCAGCAAAAAATTGAGACAAAAATCCCCACCCTCGACTTTGCTCATATCTCAGTCGATATTACGACCGAAATTCTGATTCTGACCCGACGGATGTAAAAACGAGACGTTACCTCCCATCCCTGCACCAAATTTTTCCTAACTATCAAAAATGTTTCCTTCACGTGTTCCCCCATCACTGTAAAAAATTGCGGAATTTTCCTCGAACTGGAAAAATTAAATTATTGGGAATGGATGAACATCCTTAAGTGGGACCTTGACAGTCCTCCCCTCAGAATTCCAAGATAGAGAATAAATTTATGAACTAGATGAGAGAACAGGGCGAAACATCTACACTCCTGTACATTGTTTGCGGCTTGGAATCAATAAAAGCATAGCTTTAGGCTACGCTCTCTCGTTACCATGACAACCAGCTGTGAGCCGTTTCCCTCTCTGTGCTTTCAGAGTATCTCACCCTCTCACTTCCCGCTCTCCCCTCGTCCGCATTTTGCTCTCATCCCTCACCAGAAATTCGCCGCGTATCTATATCTCTCACCCACATCCCACCCTCTTTACATTCAGTACCCCTCCATTGCCACTCAAAACTTGCCCGAGATAAAACAAAAAATAACAATTTCGGGAAAATTTTCAATTTAGACGAGTTGAATATCGTAAGTAAAAATCGTAAGTAAAAAGATTATACACTGATGGAATGATTCATTTATTCCAAACGAGATTCGTTAACTATTAACGAATGGTAGAGTTGAATATGACCAAATGAATATTCGTTAACTATTAACGAATGGTAGTGTTGCATATGACCAAATGAATATTCGTTAATAGTTGACGAATGGTTCACTTGAATGGCGAAAGTCAAGTCAAACAAGACTCCTCAAATATACATTCGTTAACTATTAACGAATGAACATTTGGTGAGACCGAAAAGACCCTAACCTTCAACCAAAATCCAATCGTTAACAATAACTAATCCGTTCTATCAGTGTAAATTGCAACGAAGACAGAAACAGAAAATTGAAAATAAATTGAATTCACAATTCCACAGGTTTTCTCCAAACCCTTCAAGTTTTTCTTCATATCGAAATTTTTCCTCAGAATTCATTGAAGAAATAATTTCAATTCCTTTGATCCGCTTTAGAAAATTTATTTTTCTTCCGGAATGAACAGAGAAATTTAATTGAATTCACAATTCCATAGGTTTTCTCCAAACCCTTCAAGTTTTTCTTCATATCGAAATTTTTTATCAGAATTCATTGAAGAAAATTTCAATTCCTTTTATCCACTTTAGAAAATTTATTTTTCTCCCGGAATGAACAGAGAAATTTAATTGAATTCACAATTCCACAGGTTTTCTCCAAACCCTTCAAGTTTTTCTTCATATCGAAATTTTTCCTCAGAATTCATTGAAGTAATTCTGAGGAAATAATATAATAGTATAATAGTATTCTGCTGAAATAATTTCAATTCCTCTGATCCACTTTAGAAAATTTATTTTTCTCCCGGAATGAACAGAGAAATTTAATTGAATTCACAATTCCACAGGTTTTCTCCAAACCCTTCAAGTTTTTCTTCATATCGAAATTTTTTATCAGAATTCATTGAAGAAAATTTCAATTCCTTTTATCCACTTTAGAAAATTTATTTTTCTCCCGGAATGAACAGAGAAATTTAATTGAATTCACAATTCCACAGGTTTTCTCCAAACCCTTCAAGTTTTTCTTCATATCGAATTTTTTTATCAGAATTCATTGAAGAAACAATTTCAATTCCTTTGATCCACTTTAGAAAATTTATTTTTCTCCCGGAATGAACAGAGAAATTTAATTGAAGGAGACATTCTCGGATAATTTTTTGATACGACCAAATTGTTATTCAAAGTATGGTCCTCGTATTTTGCTGAAAGATAGAATTTTAGTTTCGGAATATCGTTCACGTAATTAGAAAATAATTCTAGTTTCATGTTTTGCTAAATTTTACCGTGGATTCACGGTAGATTCTCACATTTTTCCCACGAAATCAATAAAGAAATTGAATTGAAGAAGACATTATTTCTTTCAATGTACTGATAAATTTTTTCATGTCAAAAATTTACTATTAGCACAATTGAACTCACATTCCACTTGACAAAAGACAGAATTAGAATGTCTGTATATTCTGCAGCTAATTAAAAAAAGACTTCAAGTCTATCTGCAATTCATGAACGATTTGTAGCGATTTTCATAAATATTGTGGCCCTCACTAGCGCCCCGCTAGCGCCCTCCGAAAACAAGCGCAAGGAAAAGAGTCCGCATTGTGAAACAGCGCAGGATTGCGTTGACGCAGGTCCGTCTAAAAACGTCGATAATCGTTGGCGCGTGCGAGAATACGAGGGGATGGAAAATTGTCGGTTGGATGGCAGCGCACCCTTGGTGGAAAATAGCCGGGTTAAAATCATCCTCGTGCAAAGAGCCTGGGAAAGATCTACACGAGCACCTGTAAAACCTGTGGATTGGCCGTGATATCGTGTGGGAGACCTGGGGTAGGGGTAATAACTCGGTCGAGGTACATCAGTGGAGCAACAAAAATGAGGTAAATACGACCATTTTTCAATCTAAACTTCATCTTTCTATGTTATAACAATCCAAATTGACTTCTTGTGATGAAAATTTGGTACTTGAAATGCAGACTAACGTTAAAATTCGCAAGGGTCGAAATAAGGGTCGAGAGGGTTAAAGTAAGGGTTACAAGGGTCAGATTAAGGTTCAAAATAAGCGGGACAACGGCCAGATTAAGGGTCTAAATAAGAATCGCAAGGATCAAGGGTAGTGGGGTAACAAGGATTAAGAGTCCAAATAAGGGTAACAAGGGTTAGATTAAGAGTCTAAATAATGGTCACAAGGGTCAGAGTAAGGGACTAAATAAGGGTCATGGGGTAATAAGGATTAAGAGTCCAAACAAGGGTAACAAGGGTCAGATTAAGTGTCGCAAGGGTCAGAGTAAGGGACTAAATAAGGGTCATGGGGTAAGAAGGAGTAAGGGTCCAAATAAGGGTAACAAGGGTCGGACTAAGGGTTTAAATAAGGGTCACAAGGGTGAGAGGAAGGGGCTAAATAAGGGTCGTGGGGTAACAAGGATTAAGGGTCCAAATAAGGGTACCGAGGGTCGGATTGAGGGTTTAAATAAGGGTCACAAGGGTGAGAGTAAGGGGCTAAATAAGGGTCATGGGGTAACAAGGATTAAAGGTTGAAATAAGGGTAACAAGGGTCAGATCAAGGGTCGCAAGGGTCAGAGTAAGGGACTAAATAAGGGTCATGGGGTAACAAGGATTAAGGGTCACAAGGGTGAGAGTAAGGGGCTAAATAAGGGCCATGGGGTAACAAGGATTAAGGATCCAAATAAGGGTAACAAGGGTAGGATTAAGGGTTTAAATAATGGTCACAAGGGTCAGAGTAAGGGACTAAATAAGGGTCATGGGGTAACAAGGATTAAGGGTCCAAATAAGGGTAACAAGGGTCAGATTACGGGTCACAAGGGTGAGAGTAAGGGACCAAATGAGGGTCATGGGGTAACAAGGATTAAAGGTCCAAATAAGGGTAACAAGGGTCAAATTAAGGGTCTAAATAAGGGTCACAAGGATCAAAATCCGGGACCAAAAAGGGCCATGAGGGTCTAAAACTAAGTGTCAGAGACTAAGTGTCACCAGGGTCACGAGGGTTATATTGAGGATCAGAAATGAAGGATCACGAGGATCGGATTAAGGGTCACAAGGGTCACAGTAAAGATCATGGGGGTTGACGAGCGGAGCGAGCAGGGGGCGTTACCCCCCTAGCATAATTTTGCGATATTTTTCTGAATATTCTTCTAGGGAAAGAACAAAATTTAATGCAAAAAAATATTTATTGCATTGTGAAAAATATTTTTCAAGTTGAAATAAATTTTTTTCAATGCAAAAAACAATATTTTAAATATGAAGAGGAGAGATAAAAGGGAATTGTTGAAAAACTAATGCATGACATCAGATGATCTGGACAGATAGTCACGGACGCAAGATCAAGCGAGGGCGGGTTATTTAAAATTCATTTCACTCGAAACTTCGGTATCGTGTTACGCCAGTCCTCATTAGGGATTCTGCAAAATAATCAGTGGTTTAATCGGGAGATTCTACTTTGATTTGAGTGATAGGGATATCTTATCGACTGGGTATTATCTAAATTTTTTGGAGGGTCTTCAGTATCAGTAGATATTTCCAACTGGCGAGTTTATTTTAATCCAATTGACGATAGAAGGAAACGCGAATCTTCATCTTTTTTTCTCAATATTTTTAATAGGTCCAGTATTCTAGTTCTATTTACTCATAACCAACTGTAACAATTCATCTAAAACGTGAGAAAATTATTTACAAAAATTTTAGTCTCCCATTCTGCCCCATAAATTCTCGACGCATTAAAAAAATAACAGGAGAAACCTAGCCAGTTGAAAATTCTGTTTTAGTGTTTTCGCGATTATCTCGGAAGTAAGTACTTTTATAAAGAAATGTCGAAAAAAAATTTTTGTAGAGAATTAAATTACCTACAAAAAATATTTTCTGACATTTTCCTCTATAAGCATTCCCCGTTGAAATAATTAAATAAAAAGTTCATCAATGAAACGTCGAAAACCTGAAAAATGGAAAATTTCACTTTTTATATTTTTATAATTATCTCAATAATAAATCGAGCTATCGAAAAACGCCATAAAAACTTTTTATAGGAAATTAAATTTTCCACAAAAAACGTTTTGTGATGTTTTCTCCTAGAATTCCTCATTATCGAGATATTTCACGCCAAAGAGTTTCGGGGATTCTCAAAAAAATGAAAACACAAAGTTTTTATCTTGTAACGAGCCACGTAAGACGAGACAGGTACACATATGTCCATCCCATTTGTTCCGAAATTTTTTTCCTCACTCTCTCCGTCAATCTCCCACTGAATGGGCCAAATGATATAAATTATTTATGGATTTCGACACCCCGAAGGGCTGCCAAAGGGAGTGTTGGTCTCCAGTTCTACTGTTTCGCACCCAATACAGGGGGCTGAGTGTGTCCATGGGGGTCCACTTGCAACTATAAGGGGCGGGGGGGGG